GGGCTCGACGCTGGGAGCTGCCCTTGGTGCTGAGCGCGCCGCGCGGACCTCGGAGTTGGCGCCTGGCCCTGCCGCGGCCCCACCCTGCGCAGCTTGTGGCCCCCAGCGGTAAGTCACCAAGGCCCTAGGGGCCGCATAGGCCCCTGCTTCACGGATGCAGATTTGGGGGAGGGGAGTGATGTGGGAATTTCTGCGCATTTCCTCGCGCGATGGGCAGGCTAAGTGGAGGAACAAGGGTCAGCGCCCTCTCCACTCCCAGGTGCCCAGTGCTGAAGGTCTGGGATCTGAGGGCAGTGACCCTTTTAAGTCTGCTCTAGGGGAAGGGTAGAAATCCTCCGACCACGGACGCAGGGGCTTGGGAAGAACGGATAGGACAGTGGAGGCCCATCTTCTCCCTGGTTGGGAGGGCCTGGACCGCTCAGACTCCCTTAGAGGAGGTGGGCCAGGACCTTCGCTCCCCAAAGGGCCCATTGTCTCCCCAGCGTGGGGGGTGGGTGGCTTGGTGATGCTCTCACTGCAGATTCTATTTCTGCCTCACACTCCACCCCACCGCCAACCCCACCCCCACCCCAGAACACGAAAGCTTTCCCTCCCTACGATGGCCTTCACTCCATCTATCTGAAGGTTTTGGCTTCAACAGAGCACCCTACGACAGAGGTACACCATTGCTCCATAACCCTCTCACAACCCCCCCCCCCCGCAATTTCTGGGAAGTCCCTAGGAGCAGCTCCCCTCCTAGGCCTGGATTTATTTCCATTCACACCCCCTCCCCCTCCACACACACACACACATCCTTTATATTTCACTGCTCAGTGGCACTCTGGTTGTGACCATCCTGGATATCGTGGACAGGGAAGGCAGGACAAATATCAAACTAGTAGCCCAAATTCTGATCTCTCAAACTATGTCTGCTGCATATATGTTACTTCCAGGTTTTTCTTTTGCTCCATGAAATCAAACACCATGTCAATGTCATGTTAAAAAGAGGGTGGAGTAAGGCACAGAATTACCTTCTCAAGAGAAAAAAATTTCTAGGTAGTTGAGCCAGAAGTTTGTTGTCATGGAGAAAATCAGCTAGTAGAATGACTTCATTTACTCAATTTGCAATAAACCCATATCCAAGTGTATTAATGCTATGTTTAGGACACTGAGATGAAAGATGTAAAGACATGGAAAACCTCTGCCACCACCTTCTCTCCCCTCAGGCCCTGCTCTGCCCTCCTAATTGGTCCTCTTGCTTCCACTCTTGCACTGTACTTCCCATTCTCACCTGCAGCTGGAGTGGTCTTTGAAATTGAAAATCAGTCATGTCCTGCACCCTTGATGGAGGTCAAGGCACTCCCTGTGACCGTCAGGCCTGGTGGTCTGCCCTGCTGACCTCCAAACCTCACCTCACTGGCTCACTGCTCTGGCCATTCTGCCCTGCTTCAGATCTTTAAATACTCTCCCTCTCTTGCTCCTCTGGCCTTTTCTCAGGACATCTCTTCTGCATGGAATGTGTTTCCCATATCTTTTACCTTGTCGTCTTCTGCTGTCTTTTAGGTCTTGGTGTAAATACCACATCCCTCAAAGAGATTTGATGAGATAAATATCCTGTGTGGTCCTTTTTATGGAATTTACAAGCTTGTTTTAGAGATGACATACTCAACCCAGCATCTTGGTATCTCTGAGACCCGTCAGAGAAAATGATGTGCTCAAAACTGTGCTAGTAGAATTAAAAATTCTATTACCCAGCATCCTAGTTAGGAAACTTAGATTCAAATATATGACTAAGATGTCTCAAAAGCATAAAATACTTCCTTCACATAAGCAATAGCTCTTAGTCCACTACAGGTGGAGTCCTGACCCATACAGAATTTTCAGCCTCATTGCAGAGTAAGCCAACCAGAGTGAACAGTTGGTGTTAGCTGAGTGCTGCAGACAACAAGGCACCAGGAGAAAGGAGTAGTGGGTGCTCTGTCCTCTGTGGAAGGACATGGCGCATGAGTGGGGCATCTCTCATGTTTCACGCTTCCTCCACAGAGGAGTCTTTAGCCACAGGTTCACAAAGCAGTGTGTGTTTTAGGAAGTGAGGACCTGGACACATTTAGGCCCCTTCCCTCTGGCAATTATGGTCCCAGCATTTGGCTTTCCAGATAAATCCCACTGTGCCTGTGAGAACTGTCATGAGAGGTGACTGCTCAGCCTGCCTCAGGTCAGGTAGTAGCCCTTGGACGACCCAGGGAGATCTCATCCACGTCACATACAGACCACAGAATTGCAGGTTCAACTATGATACTGTATTTTATGTGGAAATTGACTGGACTAAGCACACACTAGGCTTCATGTCACTGCTCCAGTATTCTGCAAGACCCTGGTTCATCATCCGGACCATAATGCTTGTTGTCCTATCAATGTGCAAAAGTGCCAAATAAATTCACGAAACAGGGTTGACAATATCAGTAACATTGAGTTCAGACGTTCATAGCAATGATGGCTATTTTGAGGGAGCATTTTTCAAGTTCAGAGTAGGGTAAAATTTCCAACTGCTCATGATTTTAAATCAGTTAACTGTTCTGAAAACTAAGAGATAGGTAGTTTTATTTATAGAGCTTGGCTGCTAATCAAAAGGTTGGCAGTTTGAATCTACCAGCCGCTCCTTGGAAATGTTGTGGGGCAGTTCTACACTGTCCTATAGCTATGAGTTGGAATCGACTCAATAGCAACGGGTTTGGTTTTGGTTTGGTATTAAATAAACCATCTTAATTCTTGCAGTTGCAAAATTCTGCACACAGTAAAATAATCCTTATTATGCCTAGTTGAATTTATTTCCAGGAATATGGCAATCAAAAGATTTCCCAAAGCATAAAAAAGGGTAAGTGCAGTACAGACCTCAAAATTTCTTGCCATAGAAATTATATTACCTTCAATTATAATTATTTTAAATTTGTGTGAGCTATATTTATTGCTTTAATATTCATTTTAATTTTACATTTTCATTATGCTTTCCAAAATTCCTCATGGAAAACACATTTATTATTCTATTTTTAGATTTCCCATGAAGGAGAGTTTGAATTACTGATTCATAGACTGCCAGTCTATCATACTTAAGAGCACAGGCTAAGAATCAGACAAGTCTGGGCTCAAATCCTAGCTCTGTCACTTACTACTTGTATGATCTTGTATGATCTTTTGACTTCTCTGGATCTTAATTTCTCATTTGTGAAATGAGGGTTACAATAGTATGTCCCTTATAAGATAATAGGCTGCACACTCTACCTGGTTAGGTAGGTATAACCAAGACTCGGATCCAGGTTCTCTGTCTCTAGAGCCCGAGTAGTAACCAGCAAAGCACATCAGAGTTGGGGGAGGCCTTGTCTAGTCCCCAAAGGATAATGTGGAGTGGAAATGGAGTCTGCAGGTGAAGAGTGGGGAAGGTGTGGGTACATATCACCTGGAAGGAGGCAGCTAAGCCAGCATGGCACCTTGAGGCACTGACCTGCTATCCAGGGTGCTGCCATAGGTAGCATCAGTCCTTGTGTAGAGGCAAAGAAACCAGCCAAAATTTCTCTAATCTTTCCCTGGCCAGACTGACAGAGGACTGATCCTCAGGTCCCTCACTGTCAAGGAGAAGATGAGACACTATGGAAAGCAGACCATGTTTCAGGTGAAAGCAGAGGTGTGAGCTGGGTGCACATGAAGACATGACAAGAATCAGAGAAGGTTCTCGGCTGGTCTTTTGGGTCTCCAAACACTGCCCCAAGGCATCATGTTTAAAACTAGACCCTCGCTTCTCTCCCCAAAATCAGTACTTAGCACAGGCGCCTTCCTGGCTTTCCCTTACCTCTTACCCTCCTCATTTGCTTGACTATTCCCATCACTCATTGTCCCATCATTTTGTCTTGAAATCTAGGTCTCCATGTTTACAACTCCCTCCCTGCTTCTTTTCCCTCATTCAATTGCTGCATCCTGGTGTTCCTTCCTTTGAAATCCCTATAACTTCACCCCTCTTCATGCTCATGACCATAGCCTCCATCTAGTGCTTATCTCCATGTATTCAGCCCACTTTAACTGCCCCCTACGAGTCATCTCTGCCCAGTGGCTCCCTGATAATTTATTCTGTCCTTCACACAGGTGTCAGATGAATGGCCTTAAACCACTCCTCCCACCCCCTCTCATAAGACTTCCATAGCTCTTCACTGATCTTGAGATAAGCCCAGACTCCTCAACTGTACAAGGATTACTAAGTTGTTGACACTCTTGCTACCTTCCCCAGTCCTACACCCAGGGCAGACATGAATAAGCAATCCCAGAACTCTTCCGTGGAACTCAGACTGGGCATCAGAAATTTCCCCTGGATGGCACCTCATGTATCAATATGTATCAGTTAGGACATGCACAAAAAATAACACCTGCCTGCCCTTTCAGCCCAGGTGCCCTGTGTCTATCCAATTTGCCTGTGCCATGTTCCCTTGCCTTCCACAATGATGTTCTTTCTTTTTTCAGTCCTCAAGCTCTGCATATACCATTAGATGCTTGGCTGTGTCTTATCCAATGGCGTCTTGCCTCCCCAGACAGATGTCGCAGCCCTAGGGGCAATACATTTCTCCTCCCCTCCAACTGACACCCACTGCGTTCAGCTCAGGAGACAGGCAAGCTGGGTTTCCCATTCACCTTTGTCTCTTCTAGATGAAGGAGTCAACTTACTTATTGGATCCTCCATTCCATCCACTTAAAAGGGCCATGAAACCTTCTTCATAGGTTGTGGTGAGGATGAACTGAAGAGCGCTTTGTGAAATGCCTGGGCCTGTGAATGGAAGTCTAGAATAGCCAGATAAACTCTGGGAGGATACTTGGGAGAGATCACAGATGTAGGAGTCACCAGACCCCAGGCTGATCTCATTCTGGCTCCTCCTGTGTGCTTTTAGGCATGTGACTTAACATCTCTGTGCATCAGTTGTCCATAAAGGGTAAAGCAATGGCCATGCTGTGGAGTGGGTGGGCTGTTCCCATCTCCCCATCCCCTGACTCCACTGAACAGGTCCCAGTTTGGATGTCAGAGCTCAGCCCCTGATGCCCTTTTCGTAGAGGCCCCTGTAGCTGAGTGAAGCTGTGTGAGCCGTGGCAGGCACAGAGATTACAGGACCCACGTGGCCCTCCAGTCTTGGGTACTAACTGCCTGTGCTTCCTCCACAGCAGCTGCTGTTAGTGGGCAACATGGAGCTGAAGAGAGGAAAGACCTTCATCAAATCCAGCCTGCAGCTTCCCCATGAGAAACCCCAGATCCTGGCAGCCACTGCCCAGGCCAGGGAGGATGTCAAACTCTGGCCAGTTTCACTGGAGGGGCAGCAGAGGCCCCACAGTGAGAAGGGTCCCCTGGCCAGCCCCAGCCTCCAAGAATTTGACAAATTCCCCAATAAGGGGGTACAACCAAGCCCCAAGGAGGGGCCCACAGGTCTCTACGGAGCCACCTTCAAACTGGTGCAGAAGAGCAAGACTCACGACTGTGTGCCAGAGGCTGGCACAGCAGCCACTGCTGCAGGGTCGCTGGTAGGCAGTGTCAGTTTCTCAGGGCCCCCCAGTGGGCTGACATCTGCGGGCAGCTGTGGTGGCCAGCGCATGATCGACTACCGCCACTTCGTACCCCAGATGCCTTTTGTGCCTGCCGTGGCCAAGAGCATCCCCAGGAAGAGGATTTCCCTGAAACGTCCTAAGAAGTGCTTTCGGAACCTGTTCCACCTTTGCAGAAACAAGACTGAGAACTTGGCCTCCCTGGCAGCCAAGGGTAAGTCCCTGTCCTTGCCCAGGGGCAAGTCAGAGGCTGGCGGGAGGCTAGACACAGCCTTCTTCCACCTGGGAGAGGGGCCAGGACCAGATAGCCTGTGCCAGGACCTGTCAGACAGTGAGCTCCCGTCCGACTCCTCCTTTGATCTCTGCAGAGCCCTGTGTGAGGACGTGGCCTCGCTCAAAAGCTTTGATTCTCTCACAGGCTGTGGGGAGATCTTTGCTGATGAGAGCACAGTGCCATGCTTGGAGCTGAATGAGGGTACAGAAAGCCCAGCCCAGGAGCCCGAGTCCCTCAAGAGCAAGGTTCCCAGGGGCCCCTCCCAAGGCAGCATGGAGCAGTTGGCATCACCTGCCCTGAACGAGGTGTCTGACTTTACCAAGTTCTGGGACAGTGTGAATCGCTCGGTATGGCAGCAGCAGTGTGCCCTGCAGGGCCCATGGCTGGGGGCGCCCCAGGAGCCAAACATAGACCAGCCGAGGCTGGATGCAGCCAGGCTTGCCAAGCTGCCTCTGTGCCCCTGCAGGAACCCCCATAGTGGCTCCAAAGCCAGCTCCATAGACACTGGTACCCCCAAGAGCGAGCAGCCAGAATCCGTGTCCACCAGTGACGAGGGCTATTATGACTCCTTCTCCCCTGGCCTCGAGGAGGACAAGAAGGAGGCCCTGAGCCCAGGCACACCTGCTGCCAACATCCCCCGGGATAGCTACAGTGGAGACGCCCTCTATGAGCTCTTCTATGACCCCAGCGAGGGCCCTGTCGGCCCAAGTCTGAACGATGACCTGTGCATGTCTGAGAGTCTGTCAGGGCCCACACTGGGCACACCCCTGTCCATATGCAGCTTCCACATGGGGGCTGAGGAGAACCTGGCCCTGCTGCCTGGCCCTGACCTGCTTGGCCAGGGTTTCCTGCAGAGCTCCTGGAAGGGCAAGGAGTGCCTGCTGAAGCTCTGTGACACCGAACTCTCCATCACCATGGGCATCATCAACTGGCTCCGCCGGGGCCCAGGAGTCCGGGCCCCACCTACCCCAGCCCCTGGGGATTCCTCAGCCCCACCAGGCTCCCAGAGAGCCCCCAGGGGACTGGCAGAGAAGCTGGAAGCCAGCTCTTTGGATGCAGGCTCATGTCCAGAGAGTCTGGAAGGCAAGGGAGACCAGCCCTCAGATGCAATCAGGGCCACTGTGTGCTCAGCACCCCCTGGACAGGGACTGTGGACACACTCAGGGGCCAAAGGACGGCCTGCAAGAGAGAGCAAGGTCCCAGGGGTGTCTGAGTGGGGGACCTGCAGTCTTTCCAGACATCCCTCTCTGGAGCACCTGCAGGTCTATAAAGAAGAAGGCTTATTATCCTCTGTGGAGCCTGCAGCCACAGCGGCAGCAGACACTTTGGGCAAGAGCAAGGCCTCAAATCCCTCTTCCTGGTCAGACTCCCAGAAGGAGCCCAGGCCCTCCATGAACCTGAGGTATCTGCAAGGCCCCTGGAGGCTGGGTCTTGGGGGCAGCACCCTAGAGCAAGAGCCCTCCCTGATGGGCTGTGTGGCCCAAGTGGCAGCCCTCCAGGTCCATCAGGACAGCCAGCACCAGACAGAGAGCCACCAGAGGCAGAATGCAGGGAGCGGACAATGTGGGCAGCCTGCAGCTAGGATCCCTGCCACTCCACAATAGAGAGAGCCAGGCCACCTCCCCAGCACAGCTGCCGCCCATGAGCCACCCTCCCCAGGTAGACCATTCCACAGCCCACAGGACCACAGGTGCCTAAGCCATGACCTGGGCCTGTGCTGGCCCAGAGACGGACAGAGGGGTCAGCTGGACTCCTCACTAAACCCCCACGGCCCCTCACAAGGAACTTGGGGCTTTGCTTCCCACAGCCAGAGGAAGGGACCCACCTCCACAAGTCCCACAGATGGCCGTAGCCACTGCCTGGCCCGTGAGTGCATCCGGTCTGACCAGCCGGAGGTGGGGATGCACAGGCCAGCCATGGCTGAGCCCCACCTGTAGGACGGTGGGCTGGCACTCACAGGACCTGCCTCTCGCCACTTCATGCTCACATTCTGCTGGTGAGAACCTGAGACCCAGGTTGGTGGCAGGGGAGAGGCAGGGCTCAGGCAAAGGGAGGGGCATTTAACATGTGAGGCCTCCTTGACTAAACCTGCCAGCTCAGCCACAGCCAGTATTTCGCAGTCAAGGGCAAGGATGGCTACCAAGCTACAGATGCCTCACTGACTCCTCAACAAGGAAGCAAAGAGTCTGACTCTGGTGGTTATGGCCATGCCTGTGGAGAGGCTCAGGCTTGAGATTTATGAGAAGGAGATGGGTGCATATCATAAATTTGAAGTAGAGTAAGCCAAGACATCTGTAGGCAGGGTTGAACATAACAAATCATGGGTGAGAGATTGGGAGCTAGGAGGAATGGGAGGAAGTAGCCAGGAGCCAACAGACCACTCAGGCCAACTGCCACCCCACTGTGCTCCCAGGATAAGACACCACATACACCTGTTTGTCCCTTCACCACAGCAGGAAGAGAAGAACAGACCCTGTCTCCACATGAGCCCCAAACTGACAGATGTCACATTGTGCAGACAGTCTGTCAGTGCCAGCCTGTCCCTGTGGACCCAAGTCAATGGGCATCAGTGGACTCTGTCACACGTCGTCCCATACTTGTTCTCTTCCTAACTGAAGCTGTGGATGACCACGGGAAGAAGTGGAGTTCTTCACAACGGTGTTATTCTGCCTGCGAGTAGCAAAGCCTTCTGGCTCCTCTCCCCCTCCACATGTCAGCATCCCTCTCTACCCTTCAGGAAAACACCCTTTTGGATGGCTGTACCACCAGGAAAGCCACAGCACATGCTCAGAACCAGGAGGGAAAGGGCAGGTGTGTGTGGGCCCCTCTGGGCCGGTGCCCAGAAAGCCAGATGCTGACTCTAGCCTGTTGGCAGGGCCTGCAGTGCAGGGACAGAACAACTCATCAAGACTTCTTCACCATTAGTTTGTACGTCAGCCAACATAGTGTGATTTGAATGATGAAGGTGACAGGCAGCATAATATTTGTCAGCGGGAGGAAAATGGGGAGCTCAGGTCATGCAGAAGTCAAAATTGCACAACTTTCTATTGGGAAGAGATCAAGGTGGACCAGCTCTGATGGCGGGGAGAAGGCAGGGGGTGGAAGTCCAGACAGAGGAATACAGTCGGACAAGTTGAGGACAGGATCCCTGCTTCTCCCGATTGTCTGTGGCTTGACTTCCTGCTAGAAATACCCCCACGGCCCTCATAACAACTGCTTACTGAGGCCTGCTGTGTACACACAAGGCTCTTGGCCAGACCCATCCAGACCTTGGATGGGGAAGGCCCAGGGTCATCCTTTCTGTGAAGCCATACTTGACTCCTCCCAGGATGCACACAGGATTTCACCACTAGTGGGAATGAGCCCTCACTATGTGCCGTTACTCCTGTGGGCAGTGTACACACAGACGAGCTCATCTGATCCCTGCAGCAACTTAAATGTAGGTGTTATTCTCATTTTTCAGATATAAAAACTAAGTCACAGAGCACTGATGGGACTTGCCCATAGCCATACATAGTTAGTGTGAGGTTGACGGGGTTTGGATCCTAGCTGCTTGGCACCAAAGGCCCAGCTCTTACCCAGACTCCAGAACGTCTCTCGCTGAACTGCAGCAAAAGCCTCTTCAAGTCTCCACTCCTTCCTTCTCGTGGGGCACAGATGTCCACACACCTACTGTGTTCCAGGCATGGGGCTCTGTGCTCATTCCCGGCCCCCTGTTGCTGGGCTGACAGCTCCAGAGGGAGGCCACACCCCATTCACCTCAAAGCCCTGTCACTTTGTAAGTGCTCAGTAAGTACTTGTTGAAAGAATGAAATATTAAAATGTTGCACAAGTTTCTCTGATGTTTTGCTGACTGGGCCTTGTCTGCAGAGTAAGAGAGTTGAGGTTTCAGACATGACTCTGACTCAGACAGCCTCCTCTCAACAGAAGTAAGTTGTGGTTTTGGCAGGGCACCTCCTTGTCATGGAAGTTGGGGGAACTCCTGTAATGCGGGAAACCAGCCAAGCCTAAGATCACTTTGGAAAGGCAGGAATCGAGGTGGTCCAGGCACTGTCAGGAAGGCCTAGGACCAGAAGGGGCAGGGAACAGAGTGCTCAAGTCCAGAGGATATGCAAGGGGGTCTGCAATGACCCAGCAGCAGAGCAGCAGGAATAGGGGAACCAAATCAAGGCTGTCTTGGAAGAAGCCTCTGGCCCAGTGGCTGTCTGGGAAGCAGTTTAGACAATACCAACATGTGGTCCCACCTCTCGAGATTCTCATCCAGTGACCTGGGGTGGTGTCCCCAGAAGTGACCTGTTAGTCACCTTGCTGAGATAATGGAGGTGGGGGTGGTGTGACCCTCCTCTATGTCTGGGGCTCAGAAGCCCCTCAGCCCATTTCTCCCTCCGTATATCTCCCTCAGGCTGCTCCTCCCAGGGAGATTTCCAGGCAGTGCCAGCTGGATGGGGCTTCTCAGGCTCACAGGCATCCAGGCTTCACCTAAGGATGACCCACTCTCAGGGGAAAGAGGGAGACTGCTGGAACCAGCTCCTGGATTGGATGCTATTGAGGTTACGACGCTGAACAAAATGTAAAATAAACACAATCTGCAGCAATCCTGAGACATAGGTACTGTTGTCTCCAGTTCATAGCTGACCCCACAGAGCTGTGATTCACCAGAGTCACACAGCAGTTAAGTGGGGAACCAGGTTTCATGCCCTGCCTCTCAGTGTTGCACACAATCTGGGAAATGCGGGGGCAGAGTGGGAGCAGGTAGTCTCCCAGCCATCTCTGACCCTGGGTGCAGCCTGGGCCCTGCAATGGGTGGTCCAGGATGTACCGGGGGTGGGAGAAAGGACAGGAGGAATCTCTGAGCAGGAGAAGGGTGAAGGCGAGCACTGGCCAGGGCTGCTGCTTCCACCACATCAGGGCTTGCTTGTTTGCTTGAATGGGGAATAAATACACATGATATAAATCTTAAGAGGCACAGAGGAAAACCAGTGTAAAGTGAATCTCATCCTTCCTCCTTTACCCCTCTCTTACTTTGATTACAAAATTTATTCCTGCTACTACAACCAGTCCAAACAATGTGAAGCATAGGCCTCCACCCTTCTCCATCCTTCTCAAGGACTGGTGTGTGTCCTCAGACCCATTCTATGCCCAGGACACAAGCATTCACGAAAACAGTAATGTGTATGCACAGAAAAGGAGAAGTTATTTTCTTATGAAAAAGAGGTGAGTCCTTTTTCACTACACAGCAAGCCCAACATCTCCCTGAAGCTGCAAGGTCCAACATCAGGCAGACCACACCCCTCCCTGTGCACCTTTACCTTTGCATACTTGAGCTAGTCTTTCTGCGGGATACATTCTGGGTCATAAGCCATGCACATTAAAAATTTTTGATCAATGTTGCCATATTGTCCTCCAAAAGGGACAAAAGATTGAAATGTTAAATGTTCGGATTTACAAAGCAGATATATTCATTCCCTATGGCTGCTGTAACAAATTACCACAAATTTAGTGGCTTAAAACAACACAAATTTGTTAGACCTCTGGAGGTCGGAAGTCTAAAATCCAGGTGTTGACAGACCTTATTCCTTCTGGAGACTCTAGGAGAGAATCCATTTCCTGTCTTTTCCAGTTTCTAGAAACCGCCTGCATTCGCTGGCTTATGGCCTCCTCCATCTTCAAAGCACATCTTGCTCCAACCTCTCTTTCTATAGTCCTGTATTCTTTTTCTGACTTTCACCCTCTTGCCTCCCTCTTAGAAGGACCCTTGTGATTACATTTGGCCCACTTGGATAATCCACAACTTCTCCATCTCAAGATCCTTTATTTACATCTGCAAAGCCCCTTTTGCCATCTCAAATATCATGTTCACAGATTCCAGAGATTAGGACATGGAAATCTTTTGGGGGGGCATTATTCAGCCTACCCTCTGGCCCCAAAGACACATCCATCCATACGCAAAATGCATTCCCCCCCCCCCAGCACCTACCGAAATATCTGAGAGTCCTAAAGGCAGAGACCACACTGGGGTCATCTCCATGTCCCCTCACTCAGCAGAGGACTATAAGCCCTTATAGGTTTCAGTCATTATTTATAAAACTTACTCTCCAGTAATTTTTTTTTAAAGAAAGTGAGATATAAGCAATAAATCTTAAGTAATTAATTAACACATGAAAGCACAGATTTCACAGCTCAGGCCAGCAAGAACCCTAGGCAGGGCATTCCAGAAGTGGCCACACAGGAGAGCTTCCTCCTGGGACATAGCCATCTGGACCCACCAGGTGGTTACTTACGGAACAGGGCTCCCAGGGGCTGGCTGAGTCTGATCATATAGGAGACCCAGGGCAGGTCTCAGGACCTCCTCTTCATCCAGGTCCTATGCAGGTAGGGGTGGGGAGGGAGATGATGCAGGCCAGGAAGGGGCTGCCCTACTCTGGGATTCATCATTGTGAGAGGTGGAGCTAGCGGGTCAGAGGTAGAGCTCCTCTGGAAATGTGTCTGTGGCCCAGGCCCCAGGGAGACCAGATCCCTATCTTAACCCTGGAGCCCTGGTGGTGAAGAGCCTGGCTGCTAACCAGAAGGTCAGCAGTTCAAATCCACTAGCTGCTCCTTGGAAACTCCCTATGGGGCAGTTCTACTCCATCCTATAGAATCAGAATCAGAATCCACTGGATGGCAGTGGGTTTATATTAACACTGGCAACCAAGACATCATCTCACACTTTCTATATCTTACATTCCCAGAAAGTTCCTATCAACATGATTATAGCAGGCATAATCAATTTATGATGCTTCATTATTTATCTAACTTATAAAAGTCTGGGCACCAACTTCCCATTGCAGCCCTGGCATATATAAAAGAGTTTGGAAATTGTCACTCTCAACTTTATAACAAGAAAAGCTGGGCAAACTGAAAATCAGTGACTTTTCTTGACCCATCAAAGAACTGA